CCGGCCCGCTCGCGGCGCCCCGGCCCCGCTCCAGCGGCTGGAGGCGGCGGCGGGGGAGGGGGCGGAATGGTACCGGCCGCGGGGCGCGGAGCAGTCAGAATGGAACTCGGTGAGGCGAGGCGCTGATTGGCCGCGCCGCGTTCTTTAGTCCTTTGACCTGGAACGTTCAGACATCCCCTGAGTCAGTTTCCCCCCCGGCTGCCCCGCGGGAAACTGTCAGTTTCCCCCCGCCTGTCCCCGGGAGCCGGACGCCCCGGAGGAGGGGGCCGGGCTGGGAGCAGCACGTGGGGGCGCGGCAGCCCCTGGCCGAGGAACCGGGCTGCGCGTCGGTGTTTCACGCCGAAGAGCAGGCTGCGCTGAGTAAAGCGAGACTAGGCGGTGGGTTCCGCCTGTGTCGGTTCAGGTGAGGGAAAGCAAATCCACGAGCAGGCTGTTCTCTTGGTACAGCCTGCCCCGGACTTGGCCCCTTCTTCACTATAAAAGCAAATATTTGCTTTTCAGGAAGATTTTTACAAGCGGGGAAATGATTCTGACTAGGGGTGATTCAAAGAATCATAGACTTACTTTGAGTATAGGAGGTGCACGGAGCTGCACATGCACTTCCTGAGAGCGCTGGTGCACCTCCTGACTGCTGCACTCGCCGCCTAGGTGATGGGCAGGGGGACAAGCAGGAGTGCTGGTACCCCCCCCCCCCCAGTAGCACTGGCTGGGGAGCAGGGTCACCAGATGAAGCTCCCAGATGGTGCAGGAGTGCAGGCCAGGGACCAGGGCCAGCAGCAGAAGCGCCCGTGGCCACTTCTGGAAGTCCTGCAGCTACTTTTCAGTGAGCGAGATCAGCCATGGGGCCCCCCTGGTCAGTGCAGTCAGCCGTGTGGGAATCCCTCCATGGAAACTGACTGGTCGCTGGGAGGGGGGGGCATGTGCCTCCCGTGACTCGAGGCACCAGTCTCCCATGCCTATAAGCACGTAAGGGGTGTGCATCAGGAACTGGGAGAATGTCTCTTCACCAGGCCACCCCATGGGAAGACAAGGTCTGATGGTTACAAACTGCTGGAAGACTGTTTTAGGCTGGATATAAGGAAAAACTTATTTTCTGTCCGAGTCCCCAGGGCCTGGAATAGACTCACCCCAGAGGTGGTGCAAGCACCTACTCTGGAAACTTTCAAAAAACACTTGGATGCATATCCTGCTGGGATCATTTGACCCCTACTGACTTCCTGCCCCTTGGGCTGGGAGCTGGACCCAATGATCTTGCAAGGTCCCTTCCAGTCCTAATGTCTGAAATCTATGAGTTGTACTCACTGGGCATGTTTACACAAAACACGTACTGCACAGGAGCCTAATAACACTGTGCTGTAGTGTGCTGGTCAAAAAACGTGCTAATATGTTACCGTGCAGTGTTATTAGGCTACTGTAGCATCTGTTACTGGTTAACCAGGTACTAAACTTAATGCACAGTAACTAGGCTGCATTAACAAACATGTAGACATGCCCCCTGTGCTTTGGAGAGGTCACTTCAGTTGCACTCTTTGCATATGGGGATGGTAAGCAACACAGCTGAGCCTGAGTCTCATTCGCTGAGGAAAGAGACTGGAAAAATCACAGACCTGCACACAGACTCGTAAGGAAGGGAAAGGATAGGGGCCCTGGCAGCATAAATAGAAGAAATGAGCAGAGCTATGGTGGACTAGTTCTTATATACTGGGGGTGACTTCAGACTCTCTTACTAGGCAGTGTGGTTTACCTGGGTTCTCAAATGGGGGATGGGAGAGCAGTGAGGCTATATGACAGCCTGTTTACCTATAAGGGCATGTGACGTGACAGTCCTTGTACTTCACAATACCCAGGTGAGTATTACTGCCCTTGGGACCAAGTGCTCAGTGGGCAAATGGGAAGGAAGTTTTATGGGTGCCAGGCACAATGGGTTGAAAACCTTCAGCCCCAGAGGGAGAAACCTACCTCTGTTCTTCTATAAAAGGACCCATCAAGCCACCCTGCACCATGTCAGGGGCCTCCCATAGACAGACTTTTGAGTGATCTGGGATAGAAGCTGGGCCTGGGCCAGAGCCTAGGTGAGGGCATCTACTTCAAGGTGAAGGTGGCGACCTCAGCCAGGTACAAGGGCCTATTAGCCATCAAGGTGGTGGACTGGCACCTTGCACCCCCCAACTTTGTACGCAGATTTCTACCCTGGGAACTCTCCATTCAGCACCCTCATATTGTGCAGATCTTTGAATTCATCAGGATCTGCAACAGGAAACTTACGATGGAAGCAGCGTCAGCTGACCTGCTCCAGCTCCTGAAGTCTGGGGCATCTTTGGGCAGATCATGCAGGCTGTGGATTGCCTACGTGACCACAAACTGGTCATGTAGGTAGATACTGCACCAGGATCTCAAGTGCAAGAGCGTGCTGTTCACCCACAGTGGCCACCAAGCAAAGCTCACTGACTTTGGCTTTAGCAAGGAAGTGCATGGCTACCTTGACCTGAGCAACACTTACTGCAGATCAGCTACCTATGCCTCCCCCAAGGTGCTCCCTGGTGCCCCTGTGATGCTAAGAAGAATGATGTGTGGGGCCTGCGTGTGGTTTTGTATGTGATGGTGACTGGCTGCATGCCCTTTAATGACACCCACTTTCATAGCATGCCCTAGTGCCGAAAAAGGGGGTCCTATACCCAGAGGGTCTGTCATTCCACCCCCACCCCCTCCTGAGTCCTGCAAAGCTCTCATTGCGCAGCGGCTCCAGTTCAGTTCAGCCGCCCAGCCCAGGGTGGGACAAGTGGCCAAAAACAGTTGGCTGAAAGGAGATATCTAAAGGGAAGAACTTTCCCTAATCCAGTACCGTGTAGGGCAACGGGGACACCAACTGTGAAGTGACAGCAAGAAGAGCAGGTTAAAAGGGTTATATAGAAGTGTAAGCCAGTGGTACATGTGGAAATTGACCATGCTGAGCAATTGAGTAATAGCCATGTGGAAATGTTGCTACAGAGGGTAGGGAAGTGTGACCATATGAAACATTCAGTAGGACTGGAAGACAAGGCTGCTAATGGACTCTGAGCATATGAAGCACTGCCAACCCTTATATGTGGCAGAGCAGCCCTAAGGCAGTATGTAGTAAAATTACTTTGGTCAGTTTGCTGTCTTGGCTATTAAATCAGAGCTCATTATCTTTAGAGATACGTACAACTGAAAGGAGTCATCTTTTGCCTGCAACCAGCATCACTGTCCAATAAACTCAGTCTGTCCCTTGCTACTTCCTGCTCCCTGCCTGACCAGCATGGTCCAGTGTGAGTTACTCTAGCATTTATGAAAGGGGCACTAACAATGAGTGTGTGGGTGAATTCATCCCACATATCATCTAACCCGTCCCCAATCTTCTTATTTTCCAATCTTCTTTCTTTTGGAACTAAAAAGTGAATCCAAACAGCCCCCAGCTCTGGAAATGCTAATGTGGATCCCAAGCTAAATCTGTCAGGAATAGACTTAACCACATTTCTGCTTCTAAATCCCTGAATTTTGGGTGCATCTGAAATCCTCATGTCACTCATGTTACCCTCCCCAAGATTTCTCCCATCTCGCATCCAGTTTCAGCCAAAATTGGCTAGATGGATCACAGGATTTTACTTAGCCTTTTAATTTCAGTGTTCACCAATATTAAGGTAACAGCAGTTATAAAATGACTACACCCATGTTCAGAAGCATTCCAGCCATGCTTGGGCCCTAATCCAATATAATTGTGCCCTTGCTCAGTTTTATGCAATGAAATACTCCCACTAATCTCAGCTCATAATGCTGACAGTTCAGTATGCAGTAAATTTTTGCAGAATTAAGTTGTCTTTGTGGGGGACCAGGAGGAAGATGTGTACTGGAAGAGAAGATGTTTTTCTTTTTTTGCCTGAAAACCCATTATCTGAATCCTGCCCTGTCCCAAATCTGAATCATTTGCAATAGAAGGGATCACAAAGATACCCATTCCCTGTGCTGGTTTAACTTTGCTTCAAACCCTCCATGCCCCTCTATCTCTAACCCTTCCTTTGTTTTCCTGTTTAGTTAATCCCATCCTGGCATAATCCCCCCCAACAGAATTTAAACAAACGAATGCCTAAAATACCACAGTCCTAACATGATGCTTTACACCATTGCATTAGCCACTCTGCTTGTAACCTATGTTAGTAGGCAACCATCAATCTTTTTAGATCACAGTGTATGCATGAGAAGTCACCAGGACCTTCAACACATGCACCTAGGCAGGAGTGTGGAGGAGTGAAGCTTGCCCAGAACTTCTATCCCCACTTTAGACAATTGAGACAGAATCCAAAGGCCAGACTGAGTCCAGATATTCAGTGCATGATGGCTGTACTTATATGCTTATCTGGGAATTGAACTTGGGTCTCCTACATGATGAACATGGAATCTACCACTGAAACACAACAGCAGATTAACTGACATAGGTCTTGTCTATATAAAGAAAGTTCTTTAGTGTAACCTGGGGAGGTGTCAGTCTAAACTATCAAGGTCTATTGTATAACTTTTCAGGTGGCCACTTATATTACAGTATTTTGTGATTTAGTATTATTGTTTCAGATGGTGTTGTTTAAGCTAAAAATTATCAGTG